TGTAATCATGATTACAGCTGTAATCAAACTTTGTAATCACGATTACAAGTAATTGATTACTGTAATCAATATTGTAATCATGATTACAGCTGTAATCAAAATTTTTGAAAATTGTAATCATGATTACAAGTAATTGATTACTGTAATCGACTATGTAATCATGATTACAGCTGTAATCAAACTTTGTAATCACGATTACAAGTAATTGATTACTGTAATCAATATTGTAATCATGATTACAGCTGTAATCAAAATATTTGAAAATTGTAATCATGATTACAAGTAATTGATTACTGTAATCAAAAAATGTAATCGATTACATTTTTGGCCAACTCTGCTTTTGCCTCATATAAGAACATAAACTTTAACGCCCTCTAGTGGTTTTGTGTTTTGTTTTCGACTATGCATTCTTCGACAAAAATTGTTTGCTTGGGTGTGTACTATCACTTCCTAAAATTTTGCCCATCTTCTTAGAATCACCCTGTATATTGCTTTCTGTTACATCATTCCTGTATTAAAATAAAATTTATTTCTCGCAAAATTCTTAAATTAACAAACAACAGAATAAAAATATATTCAATAAATCTTTAAAATACTTTTATAAATATTTAAAAAAGGGTTTTCTTGTTAAAATCGTACTGAGCTAATTGTTATTACATTAATTTTTAATAAAAATAACTTATTACAATCAATAAAATAGGAAATTTATGTAAACCATGCATTATAACACTATAATTCTATATAAAATTGACTATTGATAAGCCGTTTTTATGAAGTCACAAAAACAAAATTGTTTCAACAAATTTCATAAAAATATAATCTATTCACATAAATTCTCCTTTCTAAAGATTGCGAAGCATTTGCATCTAAATTAAGCAGAATTTCATTGTTAATTGAGATTTAATAATGATTGTTACGTTCTTAGCAAAGTATATACATCATTTAAAAAAAATGAAAGCAGCAAATTCAAATAATCCAAAAACAGCATGAAAATAAATTTTTACTCACGATGTTGCTGGCATCCAGGAACTTTTTCGGGCCAGTCACAAGCATGCTCCACTTCGTTGTACAAAAGAGAAAATGGGCACATCTGTACTGTACCGGTACCATTCCAACAAAGCCAATACCTAGTGCAACTCTTTTCATGGGCGAAAATACCAAACAACCATGGACAGTTTCCATTTCCTTGTGGAGATTCTAAAAAGCAAATATCAAGTAAAATTAAATACGTATTGTTAAAACTATTATATTGAACTCTAATTGAACATTTACAGTATGACTACAAAAATAAATTAATCTCAAACGGAAGAACATCCTGGTTCATTCACGAGAGAAATAATTCAAATAAAACAATTGAATTGTTCTTACAAAAAATGTTGACTGCATAATCGAGAAATTCAAGAAGGAGCAATCAAGATTTAATAAATTATGTTTGCATAAATTATAAAAACATTGTTGTACATTTTGTACAATATTCCAACAAAAATAAAAAGTAATTTCACAATTTTTTATAGTGAAAACTCTTCATGCGGCCAAGTTGTCCCATTGAACATAATATTGCATTTGATTTATGCAGACATGGAGCGAATTTCCTTGTACTATATAAAGAATAATTTTCTCGATTGAAAAGATTAACTGATGCTCCCATAACCCCAGGGCTAAAGAATGAAAGGCTAGGTCATTCTTTTATAGAGACACGTGCCGCTCCGAGTTTCTGCTTTTAATCAGTAACGCCACGGCGGTGCAGCATCAACTTCTGGCCTTAAAAATAAATTCTTTCGCATATAACTAACATTCTTTTTTTAAAAACTTATTTCAATACATTCATTGTTTACCATAATTTTTATTTTGAGGAAATTTTCTTCCTATCTGATTGCAGAAATTTAAGAGTAGTAGTCAAATATCAAACAGCGACCGGCAGGTAGTATTGTAAAACACAAAATGAGAAAACGTAATTTTAAATGTTTTACTTCAGAAAATATAAAGGTGACATCAAATGAATTATAAAATGTACTGGAAGAATTTTGGGGAATAAAAATGCATTATGTTTTACTTTTAAATGTTTATGAACTTTTATTAGCCATTGAAATCGATACCATCTCTTAACTTTACACAGAAAAGGAAAAAATATATATACAAGGTCAAAGAAAATTAAATCCTGAATATGAATAACTTAAAAAATAAAAGTTATTAATAGTATTGAAATTTAATAGTATTCAAAATATTTGTGTTTTAATTACAGCGCCTTAATTTTAAACATTTATGTGTAATATTTCCATTATTGTATGATTAACGATTATCATTTTAGTAATTAGCATTTAAGGCTTTTTTTACTTTGATAATGTATTAAGATATATAAAATTAGACATCCCATCTCAATTAATAAGCCGTTGTTATTGAACAATAAGTAACTATAAGAGTGCCTACATATGCTTTTTTTTTACTTAACAGTAAAAGTTAAATTAAAAAACGATAATGAAACAATGAAACCATTGTGAAATTTCTGTAACTTTAAAATGTTATTTTTTAATACTATTAGGAATACCAAGAAAATGTATGAATATTATATTTCTGAGCAGAAATAACTTGTCAACAGTGTAAAGTTTGACACCTATTATCAGATAAGTGTCAAACATTCAACTCAATTCTCACGGAAAGTATAAACAGTTAAGTTTCAATATCCGTTAGTTGTGATTTCGAGATCTGTGTGCGGCGTGTGACGTCATGAGGTGAGGAATCGTAGCTTCAGCTTTGAAAGGAAAGAACCAGCCTTTCTCTATTTTCTCTTTAGCCCTGCCATAACCCTGCATTCTATAACTAATATATTGTGCTGAAAATCTTATAATTATAAATTCAATAATTTTTCACTCCCTTAAATTAAGGCCTCTCCAATCTTTGAAATGGAACAACTTTCAGAAAACCTTTTCTCTGATGAAAAGGTTAACTAGCTAGCTATTAGTACTTATAATGTTATATATTGTTTCTAATGCCTTCTTATTAATTTGAATTAATGTGAATGAAAAGATTTTAAGTATTAGTTGTAATAAGTATCAAATTCTCCACAGTTATTTCCTGTTAAATTCTGTAATCTTATGAAACATACATTATATATGCTTGTAATAAATATTATACCACGGACAAATATATTATGTGATTGGAATACCATAAGACAATTTCAAAATTAATCAAAATTACAATCAAAATTAATTCGTTAAGATGTAACGTGGAGAAATTTGGGAACCTCTGCTTTTTTCTACAGTTTAAAAATGTACTGCATTAGAATTTATGAAAACAAGAACTAATTATATCTAAAACATAATCATAAAAATCACTCTAAAAATTCTATAAATTTGTCAACTTACGTCCCATAACTTTGCCTGTTTCCTGGTCAGGACAACCAACTCTGTGTGGATAGTCACAATGGTTGATTAAACCTCGTCTGACACCGGCAAAGGCCAATCCATTTGGACACTCTTGCAAATAAGGCACGCCATCCACACATTCGTAGTAATAATCACAATAATCGTCATGTGGATAGAAACCGTTATCTTTCTTGCAAATATCTTTCTTTTGCGCTGCAACTGTGAAGGTAAGAAATATATTATTGTGAACCAAGTAAGAAATTTACGCACAAAAAAATATGCATTGTTATAAATTCTGAAACATATTTCATTTCAATGGAGAACATAAAAAAAAGTTTGGCATTATTTAATTGTAAAGATTCGCAACAGCACGCCAACTCAGAAAAAGATTTTGTTTAGAACTGATGATTAGCAAAAAGCAGCTAAAACAGTCTAGCACTCATCCTTTTGTTGACGATGTAAGCATTAGTTAACAGATTATTAAGCAAAAAGAAAATATTTTTTTAGAAGTATGATAACTTGTTGAAGAATTTTTGCGAGTTTAAATTACTGGAATAACCATCATTCAGCACTTCTCTCTTAATCTACAGCACTCACTGCTTTAAAAGTTACCCTTCTTACATAGGATATTTACAGTAACAATTAGAATCAGTACCCTATAGAAGCGTCTCGTTTCTTTACCTTGATAAGTTTTTCTTTACCATTGAGTGCTTTCAGTGATTAACAAAATTTTTCTCTGAATTGGCATGCGCTAGTATTAAAGGTTCTCTTCGCTATTTTCATAAACATTACGTGTAAATGAAATTGAATTTTCGATTCCTAAAGTAAAATTGAGACTTAATTATTCCTTTTAAATACCAATAAAATGTTCTATAAATTCCTCACTTAATTTCAAATTTATTAAGACAAAATTTGAAGTTTTGGAACATTATAATAAGCTTTTCTGTAATTTCTGCAATTTAATTACTGATGTAAAAAGTTCCGAGTTCCCTTTAAAATATGAGAGCGACAGAAAACTTAACAATAAATTGAGAAATTAAATTAAATCTTACTCGTAACCTATGATACACTCTTTAATAAAATTGATCTGTTCAATATCGGTAATTTAATACTTTATTACAGTTCAACAAACTTTAACCTTATTAATTTGAACCACAATAACGTATGATGTTGATTTACTTCCACATTAATACGGTTCAATCATGATAGTACAATTAACAATAGTATAGTGTATAGTAGAATTATTTGACTTGAGAAGAAATAACATATAAACTTGGATCTGATAGCAATGTAATTCGTAGTAGTAATGTGGTTAACGTTGAATTTATTCAGTTAAAGTTTAACGGTTATTCGTTTAACGGTTAAATACAGTATGAAGCGCCGGTGTCTTTTTCTGTGTTAATGGAAAAAATCTTCCAAACACGGCTCACTTCCAAACAATTTTTTTTTTTTCAAATTTGCTCTGATTAGAAATTATTTAGATCTAAGAGAAACAGTTATTCATCATCAAAATTTCTTTAATTTACATTATCAATTTTTGATAAATTTTTCAATATGAATGAAAAAAAATTTTTTACAGTCTTATGTTGTGTTGTTACAAATACCACTTGCCAATATCAGCAAGCCTGCTTGAAATCAAGCTAAGTTTTAAGACAAAGGATGCTGTTCTTGGTTTTCTGTTGCCAAGAATACGATTCCATCACACACATACGTCACAATCTATTTTGCAGGAAGGACTTTATTCACGCACTTTTCATCCATCCGCAGATAATAATTTCGAACCAGAGAGCGATCAATCTCCAATTCAATACCCCCAGAGGTATCGATTAGCTATAGGAACTTGGAGGACTTTGTGACTCAAACAAATTTAATGCGTACCAGTCACCATACATGGGATTCCTCGATCGGTTGGATTCGAACTCTCGTTCTCACGAACACATGTCCAACGTCCTACCAACCAGACCACCCCGGCCTTATATTTTACAATAAATATAATTTCGATAATCTAACAGATTTTTTTAGTAACTATTACACTGATTTTTATAATTTAAAAATAACAAAATATATTTTTGCTTTAACACTAGATTGCCTAAGGAAGTCATTTTGACTGCTTTTAATTTCAATTAGAAAAACAATGATGTATATAATTGCACAATTTCTTAGAATTTTGTACCACAGATAAATTTTTTATTGTAAATATTTACTAATAACTTGTTATATAACTGTAAATAATATGAAAACTATTAAAAATTAATTTTAAGCAAATTCATTTACAGATTAATGAAATTACAGATTATTTATTCTTTTACAATCCAGTCGTTTTGACTGCTTTTGGGCAATATAGGTAGGTATATACTAAGTTTCAGTCTTTCTAGTGTTAATTAAAGCCTCAGAAAAAAGCATCGTCGTCAAAGAGTTAATGCAGTCATATAAAGTTTACATGATGTAGCTAAAATACAAGATATCAATTACATTTACCCTCTAATTATGTGAATTATATTAATATTAACTCAGTATAAATTATCACCATATATAATATTCAATATACTTTAAAATAGTGATGCAATATTTTAATTGCCTTCTTTCTTAAATAAAACCTTGAACAGAACCTTGTTAAATTTAATCTAACTTAAATACCTTAACTGTGAGATGTTCGACTAGACTTGCATTCAGAAATCATCCTGAAAGTCATATGGGAACAATAAGGTCATGCGCAACAGCAAGGTCACCCACTTTCACTTGACTAAAACCAAAAAGTTTTTCGGAATATCGGGGGGACAGGTTCATCTTCTCAGACACAGGTGAAGATCTCTACTGACCTTGGGGCTAGCTATCGAAAATGAATTCGGCTTGGCAGCACGCAAAGCAACGTTGTTGCGCAAGTGCAACTGAGATATTTCAACGGATATTCAAGGTGAGCAAAAAATTCTCATCAGAGAACGTGTAACTGAAACATATTCCGGAAATTACCATGAATCACGAACTTAATAAGGGGCATTTACATGCAATACCTTGTCTGTTAAATGCACCCTAAATTACTAAGTTAAAAAAATAAATACCACAAAATAATTATCATGTCAAATATACCTCCGATATAATAGATGGATTTTTTTCCCGTTAGGAAAAATAACGGTAAATTGAGCATCCCTTTGATTGTTTTTCTGTTTATCGTATGGCGATAATAACCCTGAGATTTAATAACAAGAAATTCAAACAGTTGATCGCGAAACACGCTATTAAGAAAATTAATTCAACACATTTTTACTGACACACTATTCAATTCATTTTGAATTATGTTTGTTTTGGTATATTGCTGTACGCGAAGACATGCTTGTTATTTGACCTTCATTCATTCGTTATTCGTTTTTACTTGACTTCATGTACGAGGGTACATAAATGCAATGGGTCATAATACTGTTAAATATTTCAAGAGTTTACGACAATTCAATTATAATCTTTCTTGTAAGGTGAAATTAGTTTAAACTATATTATTCCTCAGTATTGTATTCTGATAGGTACCTTACAAACTTATAGACTATCCTCTGGATAACAGTACAATACAAAGAAACTACCTATCGCCCATATAGTGTTCTTTAGCAAAAAAACTCTTCTGAACAATTCGAAAATGTGACTTTTCATTACATTGTCCTAAGCTTTTTACACTTACTTACTGTAAAAACGGAATTACGATGCAGATTTCTCATATTTTTTGAGAGCGGTATGTTTCGAGACTTCACATGTCTGTATTACAATATATTTCTTCTGTTTGTTTTTGTAACATAGACGTAACATAATACGTGGGAACAGATGGAAACACACATTCAGAATTATTTCAACCATAATTGTTAATTTTTAATGGCAACGCAACTCGATACTGAAAATTTTAGAAAACATGTTTTTACATGCAGAATAAAAAAGTGATATTACTATTTTTGTGAGACTCATCACTTCTGAGAAACGTGCAAAGAATTTTCAGTGGCGACAAAATTTTGTTGCAATGATACGCTCTACTCTGGAAATTATGCTCTCTACCATTTTCGTTTCGTTACTTTAACATTAGTCTACTTGAAAAATAGCTGTTAAATTTATTGTTTGTTTGTTTTTTCTCCTTTTCAGACATATATCTTAAGTGGGTACAATACCGATTGGTGGTTAATTTTGTATTATAAAGAGAGCAATTTCAATGTCAACAACAATTATTTCAATAACTAACAATCGGGCAAAATGCTCTAGTAAAGTTTGAGTACACAAGCTGAACGGAAAATAATCAAAACTGTAATTCACGATCAATTCCCTTTCACGATAAATGTTTAGAGTGAATAAAAAAATGATTGTAACTTTTACTGTATTTAAACAACAGAGCTCACGAGGAGATTTGAGCACTCTAGTTTGTTACAAAGTCGACGGAATTTTGATTGGTGAATTCCGTTAGGTAATAAAATGATTGTAAATTCTTCTAGTGACAGTCGAAAAAATATTAAAAAGTGTATTGTCAACAGGCATGATAGAGTTTTGAATGCTCTAGATTGTCTAAAAATTATTGAAACTTTGATTGCAAGATTCCACTCTCACAGACTATAACTAGTTAAAAGAGAAGTTGCCTGAACTTATCAGAAAGACATGGGACTTTAATTACGATACAACAAAATATGTAAATATGGTTTTTGATACTTGAAAAAATATAACCATATATAATAAACAAATTAAATGTTTTCAAATTACTTGGAATGTTAACTCATCTGTAAAAATTCCATACTTATGAGCAATTTTTGATTTTTGAAAATAATACTATATAAAATTCATTTACTTAAAGCAATTGAAGTTTCCTTATGAATGAAACTTAATTTAATTTATGTCCAAATTCAATTTAAACTAGTTGAATTTTGTAAACTGTTTTTAGCTTTGATATATTTAGATCAGAAACCATGGTCAAAGTTACCAGATTATGGTAAAATTTAACACGTTTGTTGCTCTATGGCAGTGTTTCCCAAAGTGTGGTACGCGTACCCCCAGGGGTGCGGGAACAGTTTAGCGGGGGTACGCGTTCTTATGCAAAATATCTTGCAGTACACAAAAATTTCACAAAATTTTATTTAAAAGAAAAGCTAGCCATGAAAATTTACGATTACGTATTTTTCTATTGGCTATTTTTTGCAGAGTTAACAGTTAATAATTAGTGGTGTCAACAGCCAGTTGTGATTTTTGATTTTGTGCAATTT